ACAAAAGATTACCATGAATTCGCCACCATTCATGCGTGACTAACGCTCTGTTTGTGTTCAAATCTGTAGTTTAAAAGTTGAATAGTGAAAAATTGACTAGAATTTTAAACTGATATTTAATTTGCTTAAGAAAGTCAGTAAATAAATCTTCCATTGAGTAGATGAGATGCAAATATAAGTTCAAAGTGATGAACGGAGTTAACACTGTACTTTGATCATAAACAAATACGTGCAATAGTCTTCTCACAGTGTCTAAGCCGAGCTGCCTTGCGTTCCAGCAAATCGAGAAGAATGCTTAACTGAATATTCATCACTCAAAAATCGCCTAAACTGCTGAGCTCGATCTGGTTTTCGGATAAATACGGTCTGAGCAAAAGTTCCCGGACGCTCAAAAAAGTTTTATTTCTTACAAAAAGATAAGTATTAAATTTTATCGAATTGTTCTCCACCAGCTTTCATGCACAGTTCCATGCGCTCAAAACATTTAGTGAAACAGCGCAACCATGCCGAAGAGTGTAAACCTTCAAGCAGTTCAATGAAAGTCTTCACTGCAGCTGTTGGTCACTCATATTGTATTTCACTCATCATGGGCTTGACATTTTTCAACTCAAAAATGTCGCTTAAAGCCAGGTGGGGAGTGTAGGGTGATTCATTAACCTCTTGGATGCGTTCTGTAGCCAGAAACTCGCCGGTGACATGGGACCTGTGTGCAAGTGTGTTGTCATAGTGCCGCAAGGTCCATCGTGAGTATAGTTACCCTTATGACTTGGGACCTGTGCTCGGTTGTTGATAGTTCTGTGAGTTGCAATCACTGAGCAATTTTCCCACTATACTACAGTCCATATTGTCCTTGCCCCCGGTCATCATCTGCACCTCGTACTCGTGTGTACTGTGTATCCCGAAACGCTTTGCTCAGTCCTCATATCAATGACTTCCTCTGTTAGCAAAACAACATGCCTAATAAGCAAATTTCAGCTATTGCGTAATATATCACTACACAACAGAAAATAAAAATACTAGAAATGGGATAACGAATGCCAATTCTCATGTTTGAGATCTGACTGATTGCGCGCGTAATTTATTTCGGTGTCGAATGTCTTGGCGGTCTCTCACGTGTTGGAGAAAATAAAGTGAGATGCTAATTGATGNGCTCTTGACAGCCCAATTCGAATTATGTACGTGGTACAAAACGGATCTATTAAGTTCACTGAATGATTTGGCTCAATCTGCGATCACAGTTATCTTAATTGTTGAAATGTCCCAGGGTTACGTTAAATGTGTTCCATGGTAATTGAAAAACACAGCATGTTTGCCTACCGTATTTGCGTAAGCTTATTACTTCTTGGAAGTATTTTCCACCGTGTTTGCTTGTAATTCATATACCAGTTGATTTGCTACGGGTTTCTTCATTTAGGTACGTTCTGACAGTGCCGATTGTGTCCCTCTCTTTTTCTCCTATGCACATATCGATTGATACAGTTGAAAAGCCGCATTTTTTTCTTGGGATTTATGGTTTCCCAATAAGAGACTGAAAGCAGAAAGCAGCAGGCCAACGTACAAACTGACAGATACTACAGTTTTGTTACACTCACTTTGTTCTGATCCGACCATCTAACATCTGTTAATAATCTTCGTCCGCCCTCGTTCAGTTCATTGTCCCCGGTAATTTCATCTTCATGAAAGAGAATTGGAAAGGATTCAATCACACCGACTCTCGCGCATATGGATTGCATAGCTCCGTATGTGTTTTATCCCGAATGGTTCTTCGTCATAAACTTGCTGATCAACAACGGAAAAATTCAGGTGTATTTCCCCTTGCTAGTAACTGTTCATTTCCCACGTTCAGCAGTTTGGACTCAACGCACTCAGGTCAAGTAAACGCGAGAGCGATTGTGCACATATCTAAATATGGTGTTGTATGCAAATATAAATTAAAGCATTAACTGAACACAAGAAGATGAACGAGAATATTACATCTGAGATATAGTGCTTGCAAATTGGACAGTCTGGTTTGGGTTTACACAAGTAACTACAAAATAATTGATTTCTTAAAATTAACTAACAAGTATTGTTTCTTTGTGATAAGTTGGTGATCTATTGATGTACGAAGATTCACACTTCGCACATTTTTCCCTCACTGTGTCTGTGCGACATACTTCCATCATCTGTCACTGACATGATGTGGATTATTCCCGGAATTTATGCGTTAGACAGACTCTATTTCGAACACAGTCCGAACATGCTCACAGTGAACAATATCCGACCAATATTTAGGAATTTTGCTTGCGTTATTCACTTTGTTCTGTTGAGCGTACCCCGAATTAAGGAAGCATCCGGAAGTAAAAATGGATCTGCTCCTTATTTTAAAGCCCGTATATTCTTCTCTCCGTCTTGTGGGACAGGTGATCGACCAGCAAATGATTGAGAGGAGATTGAAACAAACAAAAAACAACGGTGCTTTCTCTCAGGACGTTAACTTTGAATCAAAATGTCTGTTCCACCGGCAATTGTCCGGTTGGTGAATGGTAGCTTACTTTTTGAATCAACACGCTTACGGGTCCGATAGGAGAACACAAGCGGAGCAAGTTCCGTATGTGCGCACATTAGGCTGTCGAATCCCATTTTGATACCCATCTGCCCAAATTCGGAAGAACATGAAACGAACAGCGTTACTCCATTCATGTCTTGTCTGCCTCGATTGAGCCAACTGACATACGATTATTTGGTTGATTGCGCTGTCGGCCAGCCACCGAAGTGAGTGAGTGTAAACAAACAAACAAACAAACCGGTCACAGTGTTTGTCCTAATCGGAATGACCTAAACGAAACTTGAGGGCACAGCCTGACGAGTTTCTATCACCCCCTCTTCTTGTTACCGTAAACAGCATCGTCATCACCCTCATCATTCGGATAGTCATCATTTTAATGACTACCCCATAATTGTCTTCACTCTGCCAGTCGACGCTTGAGATTTCTATCGTTAAGCAAGCAAAGACCTCTCTTAATATACACTTTTGGGTATAATGCATCTCACTGCAAAAGAGAAAATTCTAGAAGCTGATTAAAATTAGGTATCTTTTCTTTGTGCACTATCAGCTACTCAGTAAGATGCGCTTGACCCCATAAATACCTACTAGGATAAGCATGTGATGAAGAGGAAGATTTTGAGTTAAATCATGATATCTAGCGCTGTTTTAGGGGTAATATTATCATTATTTTTAGAGTAGAAAACTTGGATTACCGTTATTCTCATTGATTACCAAATTTATGCAATTATTTTTATACCCATATCCGGGTTTTATTGGCTTCTGTGAATCAGTGAAAATCACTTTGTTCAACTTCAAGAAAGTTTTGTACCGAATTAATATTCTTTCAGAGAGTAACCTCTATTTGTCAACTAAACTCAATAAAGACTGAGTTTGATAAAGCAATTCTATATCAGACAAGACCGATGGGCTACAAAACTGCTGTGCTCTTTAGCGGAACATTACTTAACTCTGACTACCCCTATGCGCGAGTGATCAGGCCATTTCTTGAATTTTCTTCTGAGCTAACCGCTCAAAGTTGCTGAGGGCGAATCGTAGTTAATGTAGTTACCGTAATTTTGCTTATCAAACTGATTTTTCACAATACGGAATGATTCGGTCAAGTACCCATTAGCTATTCTGCGAAAAGAGTCACACCGGAAAATTTGTGATTTACTCAAATAATTGTTTTTTTTTGGGGGGGGGGTATATCCTATTTTTGTTGCCAGCAGCATACTGTATACAAACCAACCCCCTCCCATGAATGCGGGACAGCAATTAGCTGTGTTAACCACATTCTATTTTGTGTGCACGGACTCATTAAATAAACAGTAAACTAAACAAATCACGCTCTGATGTACTTGTTACAGACTACGCAAAAGGTTGGCCGATATTCGGTACCTCCATGGAACTGACTCCCGCTTATGCTCCGTCTCAAGGAGAAAATTTCCTTGATAACCGGCTTGACAATCGCTTGTTCTCTCCCCGAAGAAAAGTGTGGTTCTCTCGCGGCAAAATGAGTGCTCTCATGATAAGCCTCACAAGATAGCCAAGTACGATATATCACAGTCCACAGTGGAAAATAATACAGACTGAGGAAAACATTTATCTCTGTTTTCGGCGAGTGAGTGGTACGGAAAAAATTTCCGGATAAAGGAAAGAGGGATAGGATGTGAGACCAGAATGAAATGAATGGAAAACAGGGATGAAAGGGGGAGGCAAATAGTCCTTGCGGCAGATAGGAGCATTATCTGATTGGTTCTTCCCTTTGCTTGTATCGATTTTATTATCAGAAACTGGAAACCAAAGCGAAGTGGAGCAAAATGGAATTTAAGTATCCACTATTTACGCGGTTTCTGAAAGCGAAGATCAGATTTAGACAAATGTTAGCTGTGAAACAGTTACAATAGGGGGGATTTTCGATAATTCATATTGCTGTGTTTATGTACACGGGGAAAGTCATATTGTCGGGACGTAACAATGTGGACAAGGACAGCACGTACACATGGCAATAATATGTGAATTTACAAATAAACGATTGTGAATGGGCTGAACGTGTGTTTGTGTGTGTTTCGGGGGTGGGAAAGCAGTGCAGGAGTGACTGGCATAAAGAGAAATGCGTTGATAAAACTGGATTGGATTATTATATCCACTCGTTTACTGATTTGTTGTTTTAATGCAGTCAATCGGACAGTGAAGGACACAGCGGAAACACATATCACAAGAGGAAATTGCTTGGGACTGGTCAAGGAAACCAAAGAATAATGGCATTGATCTGGCTGNGGGGGGGGGGGCTTAAAATATTAGACATTTGTCCTATCCCCGCAATATGAGTAGACACGATGAATGCATACACAGGTGTGAGTGTGTGTTTGTGTGCGGGCGTTTGTTTTTAATCTAGTCACAAACACCAGGAGTACTAGCTTGATCTCCCGGGTCGTTGCGACTGGACAGTTGAAACCAGGCTTCAATTCTCCTAAAGGGTGGACGAAAAACTGCGAGCNCATAGTTCCCGACGTTCCGCTTTAGCACCCGCTCCCAGTGTTAGACCACCAATAAAATCGTTACTGGGTCCGCGATCAAAATCCCATACGGTCACTTCAAGTGTTCGACTCCCGGCTTCAGACGCATTCATTTCGTAGAAGAATTGCTTTTGGTTTGCAGAGTGGGTCAAAGAAATTGTTTTTTTTGTAATACATGTTTACGAATTAGAAGTAAAATACGTACAAAGTACTTTATCTGATTTTACCTTCCTCCACATATAGCTGAAAAACGATTCTGAAAAATGTGATCGAATATTTGCTTATCATTTGGGTTACCGGCTGGAGAACTTGTAGCCTCCCCCTATCTATCAGCTGCAAAATCGAATATTCAATCGACATAAAAGAAGCCAAGTGAGTGATAGGATTCATAGAATTCTTCATATCAAACTCATTTCCGTTTTCATACTGTTAGAATTACTGCATCCACTAATACAGCTGCCACTATTTATATTATTATTAATAATACCACTTATGACAATTAGGCACAAAACATCATTGGTAAACATCGGTTTTGATCACTGGAAAGTAAAACTCGAGAACGAGAGACCACATTTGGTCTTTTTTTATTCATACGGGCAACATTAGGCTATTTCCTCTTCATCTGCAGATTTGCTGTACACGGAATATCTAGGCAGTACACGTGACAAGCACAAGTTTTTGTCAGTTGCATTAGCGGATAAAGGTAATTTATAAAACGTGTTCATCAGATAGCGAACCGGACAGGTTCAGTGAATGAAATCGGCGAAATGATGAGACATCGGTTAGTCATCGCATTTCATCGCAACACAAAATTCTTTCTTTTTTCTTTTTCATTTTACTTCCTTTTATTGAATATACAAAGATACAATTTTCAGGAAGGGGGAAGCGGCCAATCAGAGGGCTGCCATACAACACACATGGGGAAAGTCAGGCGGTGTGGTGGTGGGATTCGAACACTCGCTCCGCGGGATGATAATTGGTGACGTTACCACCGAAATGTTGAAATTGAGCATTTTAGTGAATGCTCTGCCCCCTTTGTTGTGTTTTTGCAAGTCAGAACCCCTTAAGAATAAAAATAAATTCCCCTGCACGGTTCTCCCATAGTGATTTCTTTTGCTTATACATACGTGTCATATGGGTTTATTGGCATGTTTGGCTCCTTTAGCTTTTGAGGCAACTGGATATGCAGTTCTGTGGTCATTTTGTTTCTCCTCCTGGTGGAAATATTATGCAGTGGTTGACACAGAGCTGTATTGCTCATTTCAGGGCTCGCCAGCAGTGTGAATCATTTTGTGCCCGTATCGGGGCTTGGACCGTGAACGGCACCTGTAAGGAGACTATGTTGTAATGCCCGAAGACGCGGTCGACGACCAACAACTTGAGTGCTTGGCCAAAACAATTAATTGAACATAATCTTATTTTAATCAGTGGCGAAGTTCAGACCACCGAATATGAGTATTGTTGATCTTGCGGTGTGGTTGTCACTCCTTTGGTGTTCTTATATGCCTTACCCGATTTACACAAAGGTTTAACGAAACAAATATTGCAGAAAATACAAACTATGGAAGTAACATACAATATTTCTTTTTCATTTATTGAATATACATCGGTACAGTTTCTTTCAACAATGGGTGCACGAAGAATCACAAGCTACTTGAGGGCTCCCAGAGTTGCGGGCGGATGAGTGGTGCTATGGTGCTATGCTCACAACCGCCGGGACGCTGGAATGAATACTTTAGTTGTTTGAATATCACGGGCTCAAATCCGAGACACAAAGAATGCAATCTAGACACATTCAGAGATGCGTATCAATGAGCATCGGGTATATAAAGAATGGATTGAATTTACTCCTTGTCCTTAAAAGGGATCAATAACAACACCTAAGTCTGAGTACCCCCTTTTTTGGGTAAACCTAACGTCGCTCGCCTCAGAGACCCCATTCTTTACACGAGCCGTTTGTACTAGATTTCAACAATATATAAGGGTTATATATGAATAGTTGTGTGCCATCGATATTTACAACTGGATTTGATTCTTGAAATAATAAAATATAAAGCTGTTTCTAAAATTATTAAATATAAATTGACGTTTACTTTTTATTGTGGCTCCCACTTAGCTCTAAAATGAATATCTTGAGTTTGATTTTTGGAAGATTTTGCGAATCAACAAATATTATTCTACAAATTGTGCGATGAACAGCATACTAGTTAAATGCCAAAGTCACGAGGACTTTCTTTTCACTCCTAGATGGCCGATAATATGGACCCTGTGACTTTGAAGAAAAAACATCAAAAGTCCCATTAGGATAAAGAAGGGTTTTCATCCAAACAACTGCAAAATTTCCAACTATTTAAGTGGGTTGGAAATAATGTGGATATGATGTTGTTTTGATTACGTCGTCTAGCCTGGCAACGGAATGTTTGCAAACAATACTTTCAACTTAGAGGATGCATCAACAACAACTAAAAGCGCATTCCGGTCCTATGATTAGAACACCGTACCTTTCCAGTTCTATGGACGTTACCCGTGGGGTTCCACAAGGATCTGTGCTTGGCCCGCGACTTTTCCTAACGTTTATAAACGATCTACCGAAGAAACTGGGGCCAAAATCATTACTGTTTGCAGATGACGCCAAAATTTGGAATACAGTAACGCAACCAACGGGCTCACTGGCACTCCAAGAAACGTTGAATGCAGCTAATCTGTGGTCCCTTATGAACGGTATAGAATTCAATGTGCCAAAATGCAAGGTTCTATCTCTACGACTCTGGGTGAGATTTTCATATTTCCTCGGAAATGAACAACTGCCACATGCCACAAGTGGGAAGGACCTGGCTATCATCATTCAAGAAAACTTAAGCTGCTCACACAACTGCACCAAGGTGTCCAACGCAGCTGTAAAGAATGTCGGCTTGCTTAAGCAGGTCTTCGGCCGGTCAGCTTTATTCCCCCGCCTACTATCAGCCTACATTCGACCACACAGAATACGCTATCCAGGTCTGGAATCCATGGCTACAGCGTGATTGCAAGATGCTGGAGCGTCCACAAAGGATGGCCACCAAAATGGTCAGGGGGCTTGAATCGGTGTTCATACGCATAGAGGTTGAAATCACTGGGGTTATATTCCAATCATTACCGGCGCATCAGAGGAGATATGATTACGGTATACCAAATAATGCAAAACCCAAGCCATCCGTGTCGCCCGCTTCTGAAATTATCACCCAAAGTTCATTTTAGAGGACATCCATTTAAACTAGTGGTCTCAAAATGCCTCTTGGAATGCCGGCGTCGGTCATTCGCAGTCAAAGTGTGTTCGATCTGGAACTCTCTACCATCCTACGTCGTCTGTGCTCCAAGCATTGAGTCTTTCAAACTGAGACTCGATGAAACATTAGCACACCTTACATTCCAGCATAAGTGAAGCTGCGTGTAGCAGTGGAAGAAGCACGTATCACGTGACATTTTACACAAAGAATTGTATGTATCACTGTTTCTTACTCCACCGCACGAACCTATGGGACCAGAAAAGCATGAGCTTGTAATTTATTACCATAATAAATCTTTGAATCTTTGATATTCCAAGCACGCCAGTGATATCAACTGATAACGCTTGGTTGATGGCACCCACGATATCTATTACATCAAATAACAGTCGGCTGCAACATGAAGCAAACTTTGATCAATTGATAAGTTTGGTGTCATTCTTTATCATAGTGTGGTATTCCGTACACCTTTCAACTTTGCACTTATATTTCATTTGCATCAGCGAATTGACAAGAAAAGCCAATTACATTTTCCCCCAAGGTACTGCGCAAACAATCGGAATTCTGAATGATCCGCTTGTGTGCCCACTTTTATTCTGTTCTTTTATCCTGTATTCATACGCAATCGATTCCATCTCAAATTGGTTGTCTTACACAAACGTAAAACAATTGCTCTTCCGGGGAGAAGATTGAAAAACTCCTCACCTTGGGAAGAAAATTAAATAGGATATCATCAATAACTGACTTAGTAATTGAAGATTGAGCAACTTATTTTGATGCAAATCTCCGACTGAGTTGATCGTACCTCATGAAATTCGGGAAACAGAGTAGCCTTTTTCACTTGGGTCTTTTGTTTGGTCTTTTTTGTCTTGTCCGGACGGAGATATCTGTAATTTAGAAAATGGGAAAACCATCAGAAACAAAAGAAAATCTGGTTTGAATGAATGGCAATTTTCCGGGAATTCCCAAAGGAGATATATGTTGTGAACAGGTGCAGCAGTCCAGCAATCCCTAATATAATATCAAACATTGAAGATATTGCATTCACCAGACCCAGTCAACTTTGAGATCCAATGTCCGTATGACGTAACACAAAATTGTAATCAAATACACAAAGGTATTTCAAATTTCACTCACACCCAAACTTATTGAAGGTTATGAAAAGTAATGAAAGTAATATTTCAGCGGAGAAGAAATCATTCAATTGATTTGAACTAGTATATTGTATAAGAGTTTAAGTAATGAGCATGCAAATAATATTTAAATAACCTGGTGTTAAAAGTTGATTAAGGAGTTGGTCAGCAATCGTTCCGATTGCAAATCGAACCCCGGTTCTTACAAGCCAAATGCACCCATGCTGTCTACTCAACTAATAAATCTATGCTCGGAAGTTCATTTTAACTTAACAGAACACAGGCAAAAAATTTGGAGATTTAGTATTTTAGTTTTGCTCATATTTTTGTAATTTAGAATATCCACATTCTATCAAGAAATCCAGCCATGCAGTTTTACCTGAACCAGGAGCATACACACATTGTTTTATTCCGATTAACTGAACAAAACGATTCATTGATCTCATCCGCAGCAATCACTAAACGGAGCCCTGAAAATAAAGTCAGACTTTCCAATTTTTGCCACGGGATTCCGTTTTGATCAACGAAGCCAAAATAACCAGTAGTTTACGTTAGGATTTTTATTGATCCATTTACTCAGCAATATCCGATGAAGACTAAAGTCAAATAAAACTATATATTCGCAGTTTACATAAACATTGAAAATCTTTGATGACCTCATCAAATTCTCTGAGGAACCTGATCAACAAACAAAGTAGTTTATACATATACAGTGAAAGTAAGACGGTCACACTTAAACCGCTTGTGCTTAAGTTGAGGCTTGATACACCCAAATTTTCTGTGATATCCTCAAAAGCCTCAATATCAAATGAATAATCAGTATGTCCAAATAGCTACAATGGAGTTTGTTACGATAGCATATATTTAACAAGAACAATAGGAAATAATGCTTATTATTTAATCCCTAGTGTGAAATACTTTTCAGAGATGCAACTGCTCTCGCTTAAACCGTAGATAATTTAACGAATTTTTCCTGTAACTGGCGTATTTTTCTCATTTGTTGTGAGGATTGATCCATCACGGATCTGCACCGGTCCAGTTCGCGTTTCATTTAAAAATAGTGCATTTGAGAAATAGTTCCCCATGCGTCATCCAAGAAGGAAATAAACAATCATCCCTCATACTTTTTACAACCACTGAGGTAAAAAGTGTGTTCATTTAATTATTCATAAAACAACGCTATCAGTAGTCCAGCTGTTGGACTAATCCGAGAATACTGTTTGAACAACATGAAACGAAAGCCCAATTCATCTCGGACATCATCGAAAGGATTTTTTCAATCGGATCAATGCACTGGTGGGTACATCAAATCAGGGTATGTCCCGGACTTCCGTTTCAAATTACTAGGTCATTCGTTATGACGTTGAAATAACGAGAGGAGATACATATCTTAAACAAAGTTACCAGCACAAGACTGTTGAGCGATATCATAGCAAAACACAATCTTTTGTTTGTTTGTGAAAATGGGAACGCGGTGGCTATGGATCACGTACATCTGATTGGTTGAACCACTGCGGGACGTTCGTGAAAGGGTTTGAAAACCATTCCTCGATAGCTTGACTAGGATGCAGTTTTACCGTTCCCAAGGGATTTCGGTGAAACAACAATGAAAAAGAAAGAACAAACTGTCTTTATTGTAAACACACGCTTGGAGAATCTCAACTGAATTCAGTTTTCAGTTCGACATTCTCGACCGGGAATATGGCAATGCTGAAAAGGCAACTTCATTCACTTTAAATGCATATCTGGACTTATGCTTTATGAATGCAACAGTTATTTTCAGGATGTTGCATCTAGAAAAACTGTGGTACTGGCGGAATAACTGAATGTCAGTATTTCCATCATGATATATCGGAAATAATGCTTGTTGACAAAATCATGGCATAGTGAGCATGATCATTCCTTCCTATAAACTTACAACTCAGCCATCATGAAATACCAATCGGTAACTAGTCAATGCAAAGAATCTCTTACGGACCAGGCTTTGATATGACTTAAACAACATCAAAATCCAACTTCATATATCGCCCTAGCGTTAACAAATTTAGACACAGTACGCTTTGCTTAATACTGACTGATTCATCACAGCATATGTTCCTATTGAATATCCTTTAGAGAGATGAAAAGTTTCTTCTGTTTAGGTTGCATTACTGTGTAACATGTGAAGAAAAATCACGAATATGAATGCTGTTTGACTTCCATTTTGAAAAATGTACATATTCCATGGACTAAGTTTACCAATAGAAGTGAACTATTACAGTTATTTGTTTCGAAAAAGCCAACTTGTAGTTGTAGTGTTCTGCTGTTAAATTAATGAATAAACTGGCCAAAGACATGACCATCAATGGACCCAGTGATGAGGAGACTTTAGGTGGTTTGTTTCGGCCGAGTACAAAACGCCATTCAGAACCTAGTTCTGCAGTGTATTTTTGGCATTAGTTATTATATGGAATTACATAATTAGAAAGCAGATTGTAGGCGGACATGTTTTCACGGAGTTCCTTCTCAAGCCAGTACAATCACATTTATGTGAGAAAAGAGTGGGTGGGTGTTGTGGATAGGATCAAACAGTCGAAGTAAAATAGCTATAGCAACCGGTGCCGTATGGGCACGTTTGTCTTTGAGTCTCTTGTCCAGATAAAAACGGATTACTTAAGCGTTGATAATTGATTTGTGCATTTTTCACTAAGTTTACAACAATCAAAATGGAAATAAATCCAATTCCTCCGTGTCTGTATCCACATGGATTGATGTTCCTTGATGCGTTTAGATAGCTATCTATGTCCCAACCATGGCCATGGTCTTCTTCTGTTAGTTGAAATTGTATAACCGTTGTGTTGTTAAAGGCTTTGGTTTCATTCACTAGAAAACAGTTAAAATTGCGATACGATTCAGTCATATATCGGAGTTGTATAGAGGTTTTTGAGAGATCAAAATGCTTCTGGGTTCCACTTTCAGTTCCCGTTTATTAAATTGGAAATGATATTAAGCCAGTTGTTCCCTTTGCTTATTTTTGATCGTTGATTACTACAATAAAGATGCAAAAGGTTTTTCGAGAAAACCTCATATTTCTTTTATTAACAACATTATACATGTTTGACTTTACAAATTACTATGGAAGAGAGTCATTGACTGAAAATTATACAAACAGAGAGATTGATTGAACACCTGTATCAGTTAGAGTTTGCCGAAAGGCAAGGCTCTAATACACACCGGTTTATCATTTGGGTTGCATGGAGAAAAACCCTGAGCAGTGGGAAGCATCACAAGGTGAACTTTTCATGTGCAACAGAGGACCAGTTGCTTATTTATTCAGTTCGGTTCTAAATAGTGGTATTTATTAGCTGAGACTCACTTTGAGGATAGCACGAGCAATGGCTAGATATCTTTATTTTCTACATACGGTAGTTGCCGTCTTTTGGGAATTGTTTTCAACGCTGACTGTCATACAATTTGTCACCAGTCGTGTAAATATGTTCCCGCTTATTAAATGTCATGCAAGCAGTTGGCCAGCTAATTATAGGACGCTAAAGCACAGTGTTGCACAATTCATTTTCGGAAAGATTTCGCTGTCAATCCAACGCCGCCTACCAGCGTCACTGATTGCTCTGTCATGTGTTAGAGGCTTGGCATCAAATGAATGTGACCACGGCATTGAAAAGTGTTCTCATCACTCAAAACTCTCGGTTGCTCCAGTTTGCAGATACAATGGCTATATAACCATGGAAACTTGAACTGTTCCAGCAGGAACAGTTATTTGTAACTCTAGCCCTGCTTAGATAGGAAGATGAGCAAAATGTAACACCTACAACTCATCCACGTAAACCGTTACTTATCAGTTTCCGTTATATGTTTTGACTTTGTTATGTACCAAAAGGAATACAGCGAAACATTTCCGGAAATAAATTGTGACATTGTGCTTCTATGTTCTTTATTCAAGTTTATATAGGAAAAAACAGATTGTTTCAATTTTATCGGGTACAGCTTGTTGTGAGATATTAGCAAGTTCTACAAAAGCTTTCAGCTAATTGGGCAATAAAATATTTTCCAACCCAGTAAAATGCTTGACCACAGCCTATCATTTTATTCCCACCTTACTCGTACTCGTTCTCCCGTGTGTAACTCCATTCACCCTTGATACCGAGGTGCTGTGCATAGTTTAATATATTATTCAATTTCATGTATGTTGTTATTTCACGTCTTAAATATAATCATCGTGATACTTGTCAAATATGCTTCCACTCCTTTCCGATAACAACAATTGAAGTGAATGAAATTGGTTTGACGTATATGCATCTTGTATGGTATAGTTTATTACAGAGTGCTAATGAAAAACTGAATCCTTGTTTACCTTTAGAAATATGAAGCTTGATATGTTGCTTTCCCCCGGGTCGTTCTAATCCGATTGGGGAGTATGCGAATGATTTTGCGAAGCACCCTATTGCAATTGGGCTGTAGATAGAACTGAAATGCTCGGTGCTCGATGTGGTATGTGGAAACAGTTCTCGGCGATCGACTTGTTTGTCAGGATAAAGTGTCGTTTGACCATGCGGACCATAAATAAGTGTTGTCGAGTAAATCAGTCCACCCAATCTAATTCTCTGTGACTATTAAGGTAGGCCTACTTTGCTTACCGAGTTATTCACTTTATCGAATGAATGTTTCGAAAGTTGCCCAGTTCTTTATTGTTGTTTTAATACAAAACAATCATTGAGTCAAATAGCTGATATAGGTAACTCTGTGATAAGGCAAAAGATATATTGGATGCTCTCACTGGAATGAGTAACACGAACGGAAAAGACGAGATGCGAATGTGCACTTCTTTGTGATGAGTGCTCGAAGATATTATGGTGGTGCTGATAGTTTGCTCAAAATATAATGTCGTGGTAACACCAGTATCTAGCATTTGTTGCACAATATCAGTCAAAGTTGAGTGGTTTCCCATTTGAATGTATATGCGAGTTTTTTCAGTCTGAACTTACAACTTCACGAATGGATCCGACAGACCGTTCTGATCCATAGATGCCAGATCTGAGCAACGAATCACCTCAACGCACAGCTGTTTACTTTCTTCGATGTAACGCAGTCCGAGCTGAATTTTTCCACGTGTTGGACAGGCCAGGTCGAATTCACCGCGTTGTAACTGTGAGTAGAGCACAAATGTCGGAAAAAAAGAAATTTTATCATTTGTGACTGCATATTATTTGTAAATTATTATCGGCAAGTGACTGCTGTTGATTGAAGGATTGAAGGAATTCCACAAATGCTAAGTTACAGCGGCTTATTGGGCTTTTATATCCGACAGGGGAAGTATATTCTCTCCCGTTGGCTTTGCTATTGGACGCTCACCCGGTTACTTGATTTACCAGTGATGCTATTTTCATGGTTTTTATTGTTGGAATGCCTCTGCGGTCAAGGATATCTTTGAATACTTCAGTTTTCATGAACAAGGAGATATTACAATGTGTATCCAAGATGATGGGAACGATAGTCAATTTCCCTTTTAGAATCCATTGATGAGGCTGAATGTGGCCTCATTAGGAACTGTTAAAAACGTTTAACCCACACACACACACCAATTACCCACTGGCTATTTTATTTGTTCCTTCCCGTTTACATTGGCCAAAATAATGGCACTTTAATTTGGTTGGTACCCTCACATTGTGGTTTCTCACATACATGAATTTAAAGGAGTGAAAATGAACTCATCAAAAACACACATTTGCATTTTTATCAATACGGCTGCCTTTGTTTATGATCTCTTGAGGTTGCCCGGGGGTCTTCATTCAGAAAAGGGACCACGGTTATCAATTTTCTCTCGGACATGGAAGTCAGCGTACAACGAGTCCGGAATTTTGCATTGTATATCGCACTTCACAATTGTTTTGGAAAAATCAATATAAAACTGGTAGTAGTGGGAATGCCCACCTTTATGTAGAACGAAAATTTTGACATCTGTGGTTTTGCACCAAACGTGCATGATAGAATGACCTCGTAAAATGATTGTGTCGGAGCCTACTGCCGCTCTTATTCGTGCACCCACGCAAACGGTGAGTTCACCTAAAGATTTTAGCAGTTTTCACCAACAGTAACACAAATGCCCTTCCCGTGGCTTTCCGTCTGAGCAGTGAATATGTTACTATAAGCATCTTGTTTTGCAACCTCTGTCTCTTCTTTGTTCTCCTATACTTAATGACAACAAAGATATTTTGAAGTTTTATTTATCTACAAAAGATAATGATAGTTATTTAGAGATTGACAAATTTCTTTAGGCTTGCCAAAACACATTTTATCGTTCGATTTGAAAACGTAAAACAGAAAAAAATAACAGATAACCATTTCCCTCGAGAAAGTTTCCATTTCAGACAAATTCATAGTTCACCACCAAAAGTTGGGACAGACATGGACAAGATTGATGAGATCGGAACGATTGCCTTTCTTTCATTCATTTTTCATCTGCGATCGATCATACATCTCTTTTCGTATTCTATTGATCCAATTTGCCCCGTTACTTCCCTAATCTCAGTTCCATCGATGAATTTCCGCAGATTAGTTTCCATTCGGTGAATGAGCTAAAATGAATACAAAGCACACCGAGGTCTCGATGGACAATCCCCCCTTTCCCATGCCAAACAACCAAGCCATGCCAGTAGCATGTGATTCCCTATCGGATATAAAAGCCTCATAAATCGCCGTGATTTGTCATTGGCTGAATTTTCTCTGAACTCTTTCTCTTTGTGTGTATATGCGTAATCAGACGGAATTAGCGGAATGAAGACAAGTTATAAAAAGGTAAATGAATTTGGCCAAAGTGTTGCCAAAATAGCGTAAAATGTGTTGAACACCATATAAAAGCTCCCGCGGTGTTTAACTGCCCCTATCAGCCGTTGGAAATATGACCCCATCTTATGCAAGAATAAATGCTTGTAATCGAAGGGGTAGAAATTTGAAGATGAACCTATGTTTTCGAGCTGGACATACTGTCCGTGATATTCCTAAAAGCTGTTGATGCTGGCAACTCATCTAGCGTTTCATTGTCCATTGTTAGAGATTGCTATCAAAAGAGTCCATTGAATAGAGTGGCCATAATATATGCCTGAAATTTCCAACACAAGAAATATTTAAGCTCACTTCATGATATGTATTTTGTTCACCATGACCATTTGCCATACGGAACACACTTCGAGGTTGCAATACAAACTTTCTATACACGCAATATTCCAGATCTCACCAGCCCTACAAAAATAAAATCCACCGTGTTTCGCGTGGACATGTCCCATCTGTCCATTTATGAAACTACATGAGCTTGAGCCATAAAGTTACACCTCAATCATTAATTCGTTTCTTATGTGTGCAAAATACAGTGGGAGGCTGAAAATTCCCCCGCTAAAAACAATAAAATGAAAAAAGTAATCCACTATCCAGAAATGTACCAAGTCAGGTTAGCTACAGATTTTACACTGATTTACTGATTTTGTATTCAATAAATTTACCACATGACAAACGGATCGTTGGCTTTGTGAGTCTACGGCTATTAAAATTGTGTTACATTCAAGTGTAATAGATACCGCAGGCTGATTGGTTCAAATATTCCCTCCAACCATATCTGCCGTCACTGATTGGACTATAAAATGTGTATCATTCCTTAAATACGCATTCAGGGGAACAAGAGAACAGAACATCGGGCGGTTTTAGTTTGATGAGACCGTGACAATTCAGAGTCACAAGTCTGATTTCTGTAACATCCGGACGTTTTTTTCACAAATCTGGCCTTACCATGGTAGAGTTGCCAAGCGGTCTCGATCACTGAATAATTACTCTTTCCTCTACCTAAACCCGGAGTGACTGGTGATCTTCCACCTTCATAGTGACCTTGCGCACCCGACTGGTTTACGGGGTTTGATGGCTTGTTATCATTTTGATCACATTTTCACATGAATGTTTTTACACAGATACAGAAACTGTGAAATAGTTGTGTTTATCCAATCCAGCAACAATGCTCATTCTGTTGCGGTTTAATTGTGATTCATCAAGAAAACATTATGTTCGCTTGTTTGTCCTTGTTTCTTTTCACCTTTTGGCATCGTGGTTTCCCTTTCTCGATTAATCCAACTAGTATGAACCAGTCACATGATGATTTCACAATCTAGTAACGATTGTCCTCAAACATTGACCATATTTTCAAAATCTTCCTGTTGATAACATCAATCCCAGAATCGGACATCGTAAGTGATTTGTGTGCCAGTAATACGAGTGATGTAGTTGGCCCCACACGCCAAGATGATTCACCAGTACAAGATGATGGCCTTTTCATGTTACGTGTCTCATATTTAAACATCTCTGGCAACCAATCAATGAAATAAGTTTGCGGCCCATTTTAGTGGCTTCAAGTATTTCAGTATATAAATGAAACCAGTGTACTGGCTAAGCGACGACCGTATTGAATTATGACTCCATTTAGAGTTCCAAAACATGACAAGGTTGTCATGTGGAATAATGAAGTGAACTGAGATTGAATCAAATTCTCACATAATTTGAAAAAAATGAAAAGAAGGGTTATCACTTGCAGTACCATGATAATGCTTCTATCCAAACTCATAGTCGCGAAAACGTAAGATGAGATAACGTTATAATAATAATCGGCTCGCCGATTTCTATTGGCTATGGGGTCAGTTGACTAATTGGCTGATCTAATCGATTACTCACTCATTCGTTGCCCTGAAATAGTATTATTCTCTGCTTAGTTAACAAAATCCTAATATAAGATCGGCTTGCATTTTTGTTCCATTCTACCCTGAATTTGTAACACCATAAACCCCAAGTGAGGGATTGTAAGTCGGTTCGGTAAAATCAAAGCACCCTAGCTGGACTAGGATCGCCATGACTACGTGCAGGCTTTGTGTACCATAGATCATGTCAACATATGCTCCGGATTGCGTGCGGAGATTCACATCCGGTGGATTTGCCATTTCTGACCGTACTGTTTGGATGCAATGGGGGACATTGATTCGTGTAAAGTGAAACATTTTTGGGGAGTGCTTCCGATAATCATACATAGAAGCGGTGGTGATGGCGACAACTGAGCAATTGAGGATTTAACCGACATGACTGAGTTTATCACGTTAAATTGTCTCCGTTTAAAGATTTACTGGAAAATTACACAGGGGTTTCTAATCAAAGAACAATAGACACTACATACATACTTCTAACGATTCATATTTTTCCATGTGGTAATACTTTTCAAATTGAAACAGTTTATTTACTACAATAGAGTTCTGTGAAATCATATTCGTAAATTAAATTTTTTGTGGCTTAATGATTTCTTTTCTGTGAAAATTCTATGCACCAAGCTAGGTTGAAAGAAATCCAAACCGTTGATGAACAAACTCAGGGCACTTCGAAGCTCAGTCCTTTCCCCATACTAATTTTCTACCCATATGAGCGACTTTTCTGCGAACTTTACCTTACTTTATTTTGACCTAGTGCTTTTGACTCATTTCTGAAAGAGAAACTTTGAGCTGCATCAATGTGGACGGATCATCATTAGCCTTTTCTATCCAATCCCGCTGGATGAATTGATAACTAATCTCTGTAAATGTCATTTGAACACATATGGAAAGCTTGCACGCAAGATTCATTTGAATCCCACACTTCCACTGCACACAAATTTAATTTCCTTTCGTTCCCAGTTGCCGACTAGATCCCCATCTCGTAGCCTTTTTGCAAGCACAAACATATGTCCTAAATCCAGGGTACCCTCCTTATCGCGTATTACACTAATCAAAGAAGAGTCTCTCACAAACGTTTTTGACAGTTTCATAACTTAACTTTTGCTGTCCACTGAGCATTTGAAATGAACTTAAATGAACGTTTTACGCCTACAGAGGCTTCAATGACAGTTCCAATTCCTATTTACTAATGCTGAGCATGCAATCCAGCAAGCAAAGGGCGTGCATCTACTCACAGGTTTCCTCGGGCCAAGGGGCACGGCAAAGTCAGTCAGTCGATCCGATGTTAAACGACTCAAAGACAACCAGTATTCCCCGAGCCAATCTGATCCGTACAAATCCTCATCAAGCACGGCAAATCTGGGCAAAAGATAAAACAGTACTCGTGAAAGGATGAGCTTAATCCAAAACTCTAGATCATAATTTATATAACACGCATAAAGAAAAAAGGTGCGTAGTAAAAGCTACTCGACTGAAGTAACCGGCAATGTTCAACACTACTAGAATTGCTGAAATCAGTTTTTGTTTAATGTAATTACTTACAATAAATAGATAAGATCCTTAAATCAATCACCATATGGGTTGGCGAGGCATAGAAAATGGGACTAGCTCAATTCTAATTTACTATTTTCCTCAATCATTTTTGTAAATCACAACAAGTGCAAAGAAAACCCAAAATGAGTGACACAGGACCCCGATTTTCAATGCGTAATGAGGTATCCATTGAACCAGGTAGGCAGACTTGCTCTTCGCCAGCGTTTCGAAATAATACTGCATACGATCATTTCTCATACCGCTAATTTGGACTAAATGTCAACGGTACATGAACGTTTGCCGAGGGCTGGCACTGAGAGCAGCTTCAAAATATCATTTGATGATATCGATCCAATTACTGTTTATTTTGTTGTGGAAAATTCAAAATTGATCAGAATAAATATTGAAATCGAAAACAATAGCAACTGCCGTCATTATTTTCTCAATAGACAGAACTTGTGGCTGGTTAATTGTATGTCATCGATAGAGAAGCCGGTTGAATATTACGATCACGGAAGACAACTAATTTGTCTCCTACCGGAAAATAACCATTTAGTGTTTCCCATCCTCTCTCTATCTGTTAATTTCGTATATTAAGCAAGCAGTAGTGAGCAAAACTTGTTTTCGATAAAATCATCCATGAGAAAATGCAGTTCTGCATTCAGTTAAAAATTATCAAATGATTGTAATGGTCTGATATCATGTGAAGGTAAATTCAAAACGGTCTGATTAGCTGCCCGGTGGCCGAGTGAGCAACATGCTTGCGTTCTAAATGTGAGGTCCCGGGTTTCTCAGTTAGGTCGATATATTCGCAATGCTCATGAGACCCATTCAGGTCAAAACAGTTGTTTAATGCGTCCCAGCTATTCATTTCACGCTTCATTTGCTCTTTACACGACGAACTGCATTGTATAACTGAATGAAATCCACTACCAATCTCATGTAACAAGTCAGGCTGGAGTGTTTTCAACCGATTCATAATCCTTAAGGCGAGATGTGATGCCCGCAACAAGATCACGCAGTTGTTTGTTCAGTCAGCCGATCATCCAAATTGTTCAGGATACTGGGTGTGTGGGGTGCTTCGTATGAACTGAAGAACATGCAAAAATGGTGTTCGAACCCATAGAGGGGGTTGTGGGGATGAATTCTAATCGCTTCTGTTGCGACTGGTATCCAAACGCGAACCTGCCTTGTACAAGGGTAGGAAAACCTCGGTCACTTTAACCGTGTAGTTTGTTTCAGCTAGGCCTAAAACCATTGCACTGATGAGCGAATTGATCTTTCCGGTGATCAGCCACACAAGATCCTTTTCCCGAATCCGTTTCGACAGTCGCTTGATCACGTGAATGATTATACACAAGATGAGACCAAAGAATCAGCAACTTTGTCCTTCAAAAGCTTACACACTATTGGCTTGGACCTAAACAACACATGAAGCTTTAATAATTAAAACCTCTTACAAATTGCGACGAATAATCCCCTTTGCATGGTTTTATCCAATGTGTCACCCCTGGACGTACACGGACCTTTTGTTAACTTTAGTGTTTTATAAACTGAACTTCTTGTTGACTAAAACGCGCTAAAACGTTTTGAGCAAATAGCAATCTCATAGAAAACAGCTCGTCTTCTAGCGTGTTCTCATGGCAGATTTTCTTTGCCGTATCGCCTAAGGCATGTTCATTTTTACTTCAAGCAATACATTGCATCGGAAGTAGATGTAATGGTCTTTTCAAATTGCCCTTCTGTGCATCAAACGCTACATCGTACCATCTGATTAATGAGTGATACAGATCTGTTAAAACGGTGAACATTTGCTACATTCCATGAAAATTTTATTATTACCGATCCGCATAACCAGTTAATCGGTTGGCCAAGAAACTTATCAAACATATCTCCCAGTGAACGAATCAACCAAATAGAGTTATGAATATCACCTGCACAAAGCGACACTTTATTATCCTGTCTGTACATCGAATGCCACTAGATTAGCGTTCTGTTGATAAGACACCTCTTCCCATAAAGATCTCTATGAGCGGTAACAGTTATCTTTTACGAACCCAGCAGAAATTTTGGAACACCTCTCCTGAACGTGTTTGCCGCAAGACGGTCGCCATGTGAGAGAGACAGAGGCGACATTCACAAGTTTCTTTTCTCTAATAAGTTATCGCTAGGGTTTACGAGAGAGATATTCGTCTAATGTGTGACGGTGATGTCATACACATTGTTAATGTTATGTTAATGTTATGTATACTCGCCAAAACGTTGAAATTTAAAGGAAACGGCGGTAAGCAGCCATGGGCAAAAATACTAATGTTGTAGGTGTGGCCTTATAGAGCCGCTGTAGAGCATACGTTAGAGAAGAGTGTAGGCAGTGTCCAGAGGTGAGTTTGCATGTTAGCAAAGCTACTGATCTCTTCACAACTGCAAGCTAAACAGATTGTCAATAGGCTGTTCCCATTTTGCATTATTAGTAAGGTAACAGGTTCCCTAATCATTCTAAGCTGCCCCGGTGTTCTAGCATTCTATACTTCCACTTTCCTATGGATGATCAGCTTATTTGAAGGAAATCCTGAGTGTTTGGTTTCACGAATTCACTCACGTGTTTGAACAGCATCGGTAACATAACTTACATAACAGAACATGAAACTCGGAGCTAGGGAGGAGTAAGTTTACCCGAAACAAATATATTTTCCGATTCTTCATTGTGTTTCGCTGTGTTCATTGATGCAGTTGTATTTTTTTGCCCCAGTGTCGGAGGTTAGGCGAAATAATTATTTACATTCTGTTGGAAATGATTATTAATAAAAAATATTCCTCTAACGCTTACTTCATCTCCTCCAACATCAAAATGGTGTTGTGATTTAGAATATGTGCCGTGCGACGTAGCCATACTGTGCCTTATTTTGATAGACTAGATTTAGGGTAATTTTTGTTGGATAATTACCGGATTCTTACATTCCAGTTTAAACACCCTCATTTAGCCAGAATACGCTGTTAATGATGTTCTGAAGACTTCAATGCACACTACCTATAGGTTGACACTGATTCACACCGAATTCAAGAGAAATCCAGATGCAGGCAACCACCGAAATTAGGAAACAGCTATCAATATCCAATCCCCTTTGGTTTTGTCTTATTCAATCAGCATGCACTTCATTCGAAAGGTCAGAAATGAAACCTTTACTCAACTAGTTTCTCCGGTTTGTGGTGTGATCAAGCTTGCGATAAAACGAACGAGGAGTTCCGTGGTTATCTTTGAGTCATCACCAAATTTATTGAATCATTACAGCCTGAAGCTTTATCAGGGTCAGAGTGTTCGATCACCTATCAACATTTTCGGGATCACCTGTATCCAGGTATTTTTACGTACTTTCTCTCCACTTACCTGAGTGTTTTCTGGTGCATATTTTTCTCCTCGAAAGGTTCGAATGTGAGAGCTTCGTTCCACACCGGATTCAAACATTGCGGTCTTGTGGACGTGCGTGGCCGAGGACTATTGTGTGAACTGGGCAATATCTGGCATACCACATAGGGATCGGACAGACCATTCGCATCCATGGCGATCAAATTCTGTGGTCCGCATGTTCGTTCCGTACGTACCGCCCCCGTCAATCGTGTTTCGGTTAGTCAGGCCAACAGTGAGTGGATGAGTATGTTCGTACGTGTGTGTAACAATCACGGTCAGTGCGGATAGACAAGGACACATGGCGGGTCA